ACCTTAAACAATTTTAACACCATGTATAATAGTGTTACAAACACTGCTGTTATAGATTACTTGATCGAGTGTAAATCAACCAATAAGAGATCCGGCTTTTGGTGGGAGCTGCCGTCTTAACTCAACAGGACTCCCAGCTGTCGTCTGAACTATCAGCAAGACTGCCAGCTGCCGTCTGAATTCACAGCAGGACTGCCAGCTGCTACAAGTTGCTGATTGTGCTAGGTGTGACTGAGTAACCTGCACTACTGTGACCGACTGCTTTAAACAGGCTAGTTAAAGAGTTTTATACCTTCAGTGTGACAGCGTCACACATGATATATTCTTCGATAGGTGTTATGTCTCTCACTGAAAATATTTTAATCCTTATTTACTTTATTTTCTGTCTTAGGTATCAAAGTATTCTGTACTGGTGGTTTTCAGGTTACATTTAGCCTTAATAACCCTCTTATAATCAACAGGCTTTAAACTCTATCGATTAACTAGGGAAAGGGAAGGTTAATAGACATGAGGTGTGTCTCACAATACATGTATACTGAAACTTTACTTAAATTCTTATTTTAAAGAATAACATCCTTGACTGGTAGTGAAAAAGTTACATGCAGCCACTGAGAAGTCGATAGGTTTCAAACACGATTAACCAACCAGCCCAGAGACAGCAGTGAAGTACAGTCTGGAAGAGGCCAGAGTGCCGGTGCTAAGAATGTATAATTATTGACGGTGTTGCTGGAAACTGTAGCCGTAATACAGCGAGAGTGTCGGTGTTGTGAAATATTACTACAGCCGTATTACAGGGATAATTAGTAACAGCGCCGTGTAAAACCCTAGTCATAATACAGTGATAATTAGCGAGTGTTTTGAGAAATTGTAGCCTGAATAAACTGTGACAGTGATACTGCGATTATTACTGAAATAGTGTCAAGGGGGACAGTAACATTAATAACGTGTGATATAATGCAATAAGGATAAAAACTGGAGAAAGTGCAAAGGTTTGCAACAAGACTAGTCCCAGAACTAGGGGGATTGTACTACTAAGAAAGGTTAAGGGAAATCGGCCTGACGACACTGGAGGACAGGAGAGTTAGGGGAGACATGCTAACAACATATAAAATACTGCGAGGAATTGACAAGGTGGACAAAGACAGGATGTTCCACAGATGGGACACAGAAACAAGGGATCACAATTGGAAGTTGAAGACTCAGATGAGTCAAAGGGATGTTAAGAAGTATTTCTTCAGTCATAGAGCTGTCAGGAAGTGTAATAGCCTAGAAAGTGATGTAGTAGAGCAGTGGTTCCCAAACTTTTTCAGCTTGTTACCCAATTTAATATGCCACATAAAGCATGTTACCCCTTTCACAAAATGTTGTTATTATTGATATATATGGCTAAACGTGAACGTATACAGCCTCGCATACTCTGCTAATCCTAGCAAAACCATTGAAAACGTAAGAACCACACATACATTATATATAAAATTAATAATAGCTACAAATTCACAGTAACAGTGGGTAAATACTAACTATATACTGCACAGGGCAGTACACATACATACCAGCTTATGTCTACCTCGGCTGATGCTCACAGATAAACTGACAGTGTGAAATAGAGGCAAACCTCAGGAAGTGAGTGACGAGTACTGGACAGGTCGATCTGGGCTACTGAGTGACTTTTGTCCTGAAGCATACTTGTCAAAATACTTTTGGGTTTCCACACACTTAGCTATATATTTCTTCTTTTCTAATGCTGTATATTAGTTTTTGATGTTTATTGTTATTTGGTTTAACTTTATTACTTACTTATAATAGGTTTACTTTACAACTTATATACTAAGACAAAGTTAAACAATAATCCTCATACCGGGTACCGCATTGTTTTCTTGATTTTCAGAATTCATAACTTTTTTTTCTGTAAACCCCTCCATTACCCCCCAAAATGGTTAAATTACCCCCAGGGGGTAATTTACCCCCAGTTTGGGAACCACTGTAGTAGAGGTTTGATAAAGCTCATGGAGCTTTATCAAACCAGTGAAGAGGCGGGGCCAGGAGCTATGAATCGATCCCTGAAACCACAAATAGGTGAGTACACACACACAGAAAAGAGGAAGTGGAAGTGAAGTGCTGGTTATCAGAAACCAGTAGAGCTTTGAGAAGATGAGAGAAATAAACACAGGAACAACTGACTATATAGAAAGAACACCCAAGACCAGTATTGCCAGGGTGGTGATAGCGGTTATGTACAAGTCTTCGTTAAACAGCACGAGACTAAGATAAAAATACGATGACAGCAACAGAGCAATGGTAGACATGATAGAGAAGGTTGTCAGAAGAGCCCACAAAAGCAATGAAAAGCTCCTGATTACGGAAGACTTCAACTACAACGAAATACACAACGAAAGCATGGAAACACGCGAGGACCCGGAACATGGAGGGTTAAGATGCTAGAGATGGTAATAGAGAACTTCATGAAATGACATATCAAAGGCATAAAGAATATTGATACCGAGAACCCACTCGGTGCCAGTGACCATACCTCGAGAGAGAGAGAGAGAGAGAGAGAGAGAGAGAGAGAGAGAGAGAGAGAGAGAGAGAGAGAGAGATGGAGAGGGGAGGGAGAGAGGAGAGAGAGAGAGAGAGAGAGAGAGAGAGAGAGAGAGAGAGAGAGAGAGAGAGAGAGAGAGAGAGAGAGAGAGAGAGAGAGAGAGAGAGAGAGAGCGAGATGTCACAGGAAGGACGAGGGAAACCAAATTTCACAAGAAGAGATTTCACAGACATGAATCAGTTCCTGAATGTGGTACATCGGGAAAAGGAACTTGAAAGGTAAGACAGAAAATGAAATGAGGAACAACATAGCTGGAAAGTGCTGGGAGACAGAGGAGAAATTCATACACAGGAGCAAAAGATGCAATGGCAATAACAGTTGACCCATGATTCACCCAGTTGTGCAGAGAGGCAAAAGCTAATAAAACTATAGCATGGAAAAAAAAATATTGGAGGAAGAATGCAAGAAAACATGGAAGCAAGTATGAGAGCCAGAAAAGATGGCGCTGGGTTATGAAGAGAGGCTCATTGACAATTTGAGAATGGCATAGAATCGAAAGCCGAATTTGATACTGTACAGCTACGTCAGGAGGAAGGCAACAGTAATGGTACAGGTAATCACGCTGAAGAGGAAGAAGAGTTCATAATAAATGACCAGGAAGTCTGTGAGGAGCTCAGCAAAGAAAAAAAAAGAGTAGGTATTCTAGAAGGAAATAGGGGCGATACGAGAGAATAAAAAAAGAAGAGTTCACCGGCGAGCGCTGAAAACAATATATACTACAGAAGAAGAGGTGAAGACACTATTTTGCAAGCTAGATACTTCATAAGCAATGGAACCACGAAATATCTCTCTGTGGGTCTTGATGGAGAGGGAACCACTAGCCACAATCTTCAGCAAGTCATTAGAAGCAGGGCAATTGCCAGAGGTATGTAAGATAGCAAATCTTGCACACAGACAGGTCACATTAAACTACAGGCCGGTGTCACTGACATGACATTTTGAGGAAATGATAATGACTTGTAGGGGTTGTAAAGACTGTTAGCTCTTGGCTGTCCTCATGAGAGAGACTTGCCAAATCCCCAGTAACAAGTCTAAGGTTGACAAAAGTTTATTTTGCCCTGTATTGTTTAGTAAGGTACTAAGAATAAGAAATGGAAAATAATCTGGTATGGTTTTAGAATTCAACCTCTGAAAATCAGTCAGTGAGCGCCAAGTGCTATCTTTCTTTGGCACTAAAATCACTGGCGCCTTCCAGGTTGAATTCCTTTGTGTGAATTAACACCGTCATCAAGAATCTGGTTAATTAACACTTCTGTTATAACTTGAGATGTGGCAGTCTGTATGTAAGTACTTAAATAGGTCTAGTACCAGCCTCAAATGGAATATAGTGCTATAGTAAATTTGTTCAGTGCATCTTCTTACCTTGTAATGCTATGGCTCATCTACGTTGGTTTAATATCTGCAAAAGATTCGTGACTATGTCTGGGAAGTCAATTGGAGTTAAACATTTTTTCTTCCACTAGCGAGAAAAAAATTGGGAATGGGGAAAATGGAATCACCCACTGGACCGGGACATTATTCTCCCTCTCTCTTTCTCTCTCTCTCACACACACACATGATAGGAAGTATTTCTTCAGCCACAGAGTTGTTAGGAAGTGGAATAGTCCGGCAAGCGATGTAGTAGAGGCAGGAATCATACATAGTTTTAAGACGAGGTATGATAAAGCTCATGGAGCAGGGAGAGGGAGGACCCAGCAACGGTCAATGAAGAAGTGGGGCAAGGAGCTGAGTCTCGACCCCTGCAACCACAATTAGGTGAGTGCATACGCCTCCGTTCCAACAATACAACAATCATTACATACGCATAGTCTCCCGGTTTGTTTATTTTATGCATAGTGTGAGATTGCTTTAAATTTAAGTTAACAATTAACGTGTTATTTTTAGAAAATAAAGAAGTAGATTATGGGTATTTCTAACCTAGCAATTACTAGGCTTTAGCAGTTACATCTTGCACTTCCTTCTCTTTTCATAAATAGCTCGTAAAACAGGATAGTAAGGCTTTAATGTAATAATATTAATTTTAATAATATTAAAGCTTTAACATTCTGCTTTATGAAAGGGGAAGAGAATGTAAGGTGCTAAAGCCTAGGAACTGCTAAGACATAAATAGCCATAACCTACTTTTTCTTTATTTTCTTATAATTACACCTTAAATTTAAAGCAAATTAACACTTAAGTCATCTCAGAGTATGTATCAAATAACAAACAAATCTCTCACTTTGTTAACATTGAAGAATTATCAAGAGACGATGCTCCTCCAAATATAGGACAGAAGACCATAATAAAATCTAACGTAGTCGGAGAATGATTTGACCTTAAAGATACGATGGTCGTCAAGGTCAAAAAAACATCCCCATGATGGAAGAGTGTGAGGAAATCAATGGTGTATTGTAAAGAGGGTTAGAGGAAAGATACAATTTGATTTTATTAGTTGGTGAGCCAATTATGCCCCACGTAGTCTCCCTATAGCACTGTTTCTCCCGAATCATCCCCCACATGCACCTCAGCTGGCACGAGGAAGTGGGTCTGCCTCTGGTCTCTGCCGAAGAACAAAAGTCGTGAATAACTCTGCATTAGTATCACAAATATTGAAACTGAGAAATCACTTTAATAGGAAAATGAAACGCATATTTTGATTTCACTCAGAAACCCTGAACTGCTTAATAGGATCTCTAACTATGGCCGAAATATGAGCAGGACTGTTTAGTCTGTTTCGTATTTCTGTCAAAGTGATTTCTCCCTTTTCAATCGTAAATAATAATTTCACTTTAAGAAGAAGAGGATTATGTTTCTGCGTTTGTATAACACTGGATGCGAGGATAAGTTTAATGAGCATCAAGAATATTTCGGATAATGGGGAAGCCATACCTTGTGCTTTCTTGGAGGTTAATGACACCACCGTCATCGGAGTCGTCGCTCTCAGAGTCGCTGATGTTGTGGAAAGTGGATTTTTTCTGGTAAAATGTGTCTTCCTCATCCGGCACGAATGCCTTGTTGGTGTAGGATCTCATAGGCTGCTGCGTCCCTAGCACTGTCCCAGTCACATAAGCAGAGGCCACAGAGCAAGAGTATTGCAAAGGCATTAGCTGCGCGAGTCCATAACCACACACACACATGCATGTATATTTTAAATTTTCTACTGGATTATTTGCTCATCCTAGTTCTTTGTTTCTATAAAGCTATCATTTGATAACCAATTATAAAATAATGCAATCATTCGATACACACATCTTCACCAGTCACACAATAAAACATTTTTATATTCATAAAAACAAGCCAAACTTTTGAGGATCGTAAAGCACTGTAAAGCAGCGGGAAGCTAATGGTAAATGTGAAGGGTATCGCTTGTGTTTCAAAGAACTAAGTCAGAGTCGGTGCAACAAGACAGTTTCAGTTACAAAATCATAAAGTGTACATTGGAGGTTCTTTGAGAGAAGAACAGGCAAGTTGAAGGTGCCTGGGCACCCAGAAAAGAGATTGGAAATTAATATATGTGTTCCGTACTATGCAGCAGTCAATGTTTAACTGTCAACAAGTCACGACAGATCTCGTAGAGGAACCGGACATCCCTGCATGTGTAAGTTCTACTTAATACTGGTCGTATCGACTATTGCTGTTGATACTGAATACGCTGAGACGGTAATGAAAAATAGTCGGAAAAGAACAAATCCATTAGGAAAATAAAATGTCTTGAATCCATGAACATGCAGACGAGTACATGTATAAGTACTCTGAATACCTATATATCCAGAAACGTAGCAAAAGATAAATTATGATGACACTGTATTTGCAGAAAAGGTGATACAGCCAACTTTTAATAAGATGATGGGATGTGAGAAGCGAATACTCTGAACAGCTTGTAAAACATTTCTAGAGTTAGAAACTCCAAAGTAAGGAAAAGAAAGTTATATAATATAGACGATAGCCGTGAGAAATGCATGTAACTTCACCTTGAAAATACTACTTGCTTATTGTAAATCTTAATGATTATAACAAGAAATCAAAGGACATCTAAAGTTAAAGAGTGAGATGGAGAAAATAGTGCAAAGAGAGCAAACAGCGTGTCATTTACCAAAATAAACATATGCCATCAATCAATCGATCAATCAATCAAGTTTATTCTCTATAAGGATTACAATGCGGGGTTTACAGATTTTGGATATTGTGTGGTTTACAAGTTTTAAAATATTAATTAAAGAGGGGCCACTAGGACACCTAGCATGGCTAGGCATTTCGGGCAGACTTAGATTAATTCTAAACTTTAAATTATTACAGATTATGGTATTAAGACTAAGTGACTAAATTATAGTTTGTGAGTTAAGCAATGTGAATACTTTTGTTTTGGCACAATACATAGTGTCTATATTGGAGTATCCTAGTCAAACTTATGACTAGTTAGGATTCATTATTTTAAGATTAAGATTCGTATTTCTGTGTTTATAGTCAATGGGTGAGTGAGTGTAAGTGTGAACCACCAGGTGGTTTACATGTAGTTAGTTGACGGGGTGTATCAGGGATATAAGATGTTTTCTAACTGTAGTTTTGAAAGCGATGAATATGTCTGCAGCTCTAGAGTTTTCAGTTAGGGTGTTCCAGATTTTAGGCCCTTTGACACACATTGAATTTTTGTAAAGGTTAAGTCGGACACGGGGAATGTCATAGAGATGTTTGTGTCTGGTGTTATGCCTGTGGGTTCTGTCACAACTATCAAGAAAGCGTTTTAGGTCAAGGTTAATATTGGAATTTAAGGTCCTGTAGATGTAGATTGCACAGTGGTAAGTGTGGATGTTCTGAACAGGGAGTAAGTTTAGATCTATGAAGAGTGGGGGTTGTGTTGCCAGGGATGGGATTTAGTGATTATTCTTACTGCGACTTTTTGTTGGGTTATTATTGGCTTTAGATGTGCTGCTGCAGCTGATCCCCAATCACAAATAGCATAGGTGAGGTATGGATAAATGAGTGAATGGTATAGTGTGAGAAGGGCAGTTTGCAGCACATAATATCGTATCTTGGAGAAGATCCCCACCGTTTTGGATATTTTTTTTTTTTTGTTATGTGCTGGATATGGGTGCTGAAATTTAGGTTGTTGTCGAGGTATAGACCTAGGAATTTGCCCTCATTATGTCTGGCAATTAGAGTGTTGTTGATCTTAATGTTAAGTTGCACAACACCTGCTCTGCTACCAAACATAATTTAGTAGGTTTTGTCAGTGTTATTGTTTCAGACTATGGAACAATACTCTTCTCCAGACTGAGGGGCTGACCACCTCAAAACTTCAAGGGTGATGGACTGATTACATCGTCTTCAAGTATCTTCTGCTTCTATCAACTTTTCTGTACTCGACTGAAGAAGCCTACTGTGTAGGCGAAACGTTTCGAAATAAAGATACCTAACTGTTGCATATGTGTCTTACCTAACAAGTGTAATTTTATTGGCTGTCATCCAAGTCAGAATTTTGAGCAGCTCCTCGTTGACAATGGTGATGAGGGTGGCAAGATTAGAGTGGGAGATGACGTAAGTCGTGTCGTCAGCAAAGAGAATTGGTTTCAGGTGTTGGGATACGTTTGGAAGATCATTAATGTAAATGAGGAAGAGCAGGGGACCAAGGACACTTCACTGCGGAAGTCCAGTATCAAGTGGCCGTGTTGATGAGGCTGTGTCTTTAATGGTGACATACTGATACCTATTAGTAAGGTAGGATTTGAAATATGCAAGCGCATGGCCTCTTATACCATAATGGTCAAGTTTGTGGAGTAGGATGCCGTGGTCTACTGTGTCAAAAGCTGTTCTTAGGTCAATAAAAATTCCTAGTGGATATTCCTTATTTTCCAATGCTGTGTAAAGCAGATCTAGCATTTTTATGATTGCATCATTAGTGCTTTTATTTTTCCTGAATCCAAATTGGCAGGGGTTGAGTATGTTTTGTGCTGTTATAAATGAATATAGTCTCCTGTGCACTAGTTTCTCGAAGATTTTGGATAGCAATGGTAAGTTTGATATTGGCCTATAGTTATTTACATCTGTAGGGTCACCACCTTTATGTATTGGTGTAAACCTTGCTGTCTTGAGTAGTGTCAGAAAAGTGCTAGTTTCTAGTGACTTGTTAAAAAGTAATGTAATAGCATGTGAAAGAGCATGGGCCGCTCGCTTGTACAATAATGGTGGGACGTGAGACAGATTCCCCTAGTTATTTTTGAGTGACTTTATAATCGCGGTGACTTCCGTGGGCTCAGTTGGTACAAGATAGAAGGAATTTGGAAAATTCCCATCTAGGTAGTCCCCGGCACGGGCGTTGGTATGTGGGATTTTACTGGCGAGATCAGATCCTATGTTTGAGAAGAAGTCGTTTATCTTGTTAGCTGTATCAGTGGGATGCAGTGGTGTTTCATGAGGTTTAGTTAGAACAATATTCTTGTTTTTTTTCAGTTTGTGGGACCCCAGAATCTGGGAAAGTGTTTTCCAGGTCTTTTTTTTATATCTCCTCTTGTGTCAGTGAATCTGCTGGAGTAGTACAGTTGTTTGGCTTTCTTTATTAATTTGGTGAGAACTGTTGAATATTGTTTAAGAATATCTTTGTGTATTAAGCCCTGTCTATTTTGCTTTTCATATTGGTGTTTCTTATCAATGGATTTCAGAATGCTGCTGGTTAGCCATGGGCAACCGAGCCGTTTATTCGTGATCTGTTTCGTTTTTATAGGACAATGTTTGTTGTATAGTTTAAGTATTTTGTTAAGAAAAATGTCTGTCCAATTGTCAATACCATTGGCATTGGAGAATTCTGTAGGCCAGTCAACAGTCTCTAAGTCTGCTGTGAAAATCCATATTGAGGCCTCGTCATGGAGTCTAAATGAAACTTTGTTGTATTCGAGTGGTGGCTTACTAATGTTTGTTAAGAGGAAGGTTGGGTAGTGGTCAGTAGTGCTGTCTGTGATTATCCCTGATTTAAGAGGGGCTAGTATATTGGTCCATATGTGGTCTATTATGGTTGCACTTGTCTCAGTCATCCTGGTTCGTTTAGTTATTGTTGGTATGAGAAGTGTGTTGTTCACATTGTTGACGAAATCAGTTACAGGCTGATCATCTGGTAGGCCAAGGTTGATGTTGAAGTCTCCAGCTAAAAGAAGGTGGTGCTTGTTCATTTGTCAGTTTGTTATTAGTGCCTTTAGATTCTCTCTGAAATTTGGGATGTATGTGTGGGGTATCCGGTAAATGGCACCGATTGTTATAGGCGTCTTAAGTTTTTTTACAGTAAAATTAGCAAAAATGTGTTCCCCATATTCATCACTAAAGCAAGTGGTGCTAATACAAGATAGTTGGTTAGAGTAATAGATTGCAATACGACCCCCAACTTGGTATGTTCTGCAGTTGTGGATTGCTGTGTATCCTGGTAGTCGGTAGATATCTATTGTGTCCTGCTTAAGCCAGGTCTCAGTAAGAATAATGCAGGAGAAGGGTGTCTTTAGTGACTCAAGGAGTGCCAGGAAGGTCATCATAGTGTTTGCTTAAGGACCTGATGTTGTAGTTAAGTACTGATAGACTTTGAGCACTGTTTAGGATAGTGCTGGCTTGTGATGCTGTGTAATAAAGGCAGTTACTTTCCAATAAGTTTTGATTGTGTGTTAGATTATGGAGGTTTAGATCAGGGTCAGCGCGATCATTTATCTTTTAGGTTTAAATAGTGGTTATTTATATCCTGTATTGTGCGGTGAGTTCTAGTTCTGATATCTGTAGTAGTGGGAAGTTTGGATAAGTATATAGCTAAAGCACTTTGGTCATATAGAGTATAGACACTATTAAACATAATGAAGTTGATATTGTCTAAGTGTTGTGCTAGAATGAGCTAAAGTACAGCTAGGTATAAACTAATACTATAAAAGCACAAATTTCAAATAGCACCAGACTCACTCTTATAATTGCACTAAGGTCTAATATAATGAATTTGGTGTTGTATATGTATTGAGCTAGAATAAGCTAAAGTACAACTAGGTATAAACTAATAATATAATAATACAAGTTAAAAAGGTACAAGAC